GTAGCATTTTCTTTAGAAGATGACGGCGGTAGCGGCCGCAATTCGCCCCGCTAATTAAGCGGGCACTTCAGCAGACCACTTTGAGCTTGTTTGCGGCAGCTCTTTTGATGGATGCCGTCATGAGCTTCGGACCCCTCGCCCAGGGGTGCCCGTCACCCCTCGCCCAGCACGCCCGTCATCCTCGCCGGTTATGTGGGATCCGTGATTGGACAGTGCCATCTGTACGCATTCCCCTGTGTAGGGATCTGGGGAGAACATACCCTATTTATTGACCCCCCCCCCCCCCGGCTTATTCGGTGTGCTTTTTCGAGTGGAGAGCTCACCATGTACGAAGAACGCCACTATGTAATTAAACTTTTTTATTGACCTCTCTCTAATGCAAATAAACGTCTGTTCTCTGTTTTCCCGTACAAGCATTGCTCTTCGTTGTAAGAGACGAGTCCGATGGGGTGGCCAGCTACCAATGACGAGACCCACCAGACCCGAGTCGCAACAACTGGTTGGCAGCGGTAGGATTGAGCTCATCGACCAGAAGGCAATGCTGAGACCTGCTGCCCGGTTGGCCTAGCGTCAGACGAAAGTGCTTCGTGGCATCACTGACATCACTGGAAGGAACGTGTGTGAATTCATGACTGCACAGGGTGAGCGCACTGCTTTTCTTTGCTGAGATATCGCCAGAGATTGGGTAGGATTGTAAACAAAGCACTGATTCGGTAACTGTTGACGGAAGTACTCATAGTACGTCAAAGTTGTTTAGTTAAGAGTTAGCAGCACCAAGGACAGCCATGAATTTGAAGGGACTAAAAAAGCCAGAGTTGTTAGAGTTGACCCGAGAGCTGGGCCTGCAAATTGCCGAGATGAAAAAAAGCAGGAGATCATTGACGCTATCGAGCGGACCGGGGCAGAGGACGAGGAGCTCAGCGAATGCTTAGAGGACATTAAGCAAAGAAAAGAGGGGCAAAGACTTCGTGAGGAAAAAGAGGAAAAAGAACGTATCGATCGTTTGGAAATGAAACGCCTAAATGTTGAACTAGTAAAGGCCCAATCAATGAACGGAGCTAGCCCAGTAGCACGAGAAAAAGAGCACCGAATGACAGATTTGATGCCATCCTACGCGGTAGGAGGGGACATTGGTCATTTTCTGGTGCACTTTGAGCGCACGTGCGAGAGAGAAAATTTTGCTAAAGACACGTGGCCGCAGCGCTTGCTTACGCTGCTGCCGTGTGAAGTAACTGACATTTATAGCCCGCATAAGGAAAGAAGACGCAGACGGCTATGACAGAGTCAAAGCGAGTCTGCTCAAAAAGTACAGACTGTCAGCGGAAGCATTCTGACGGAAATTTCGTGACATCAAAAAATCCAGAAACGGGTCATACCCAGAGTTTGCGTACACCTTAAAAGTAAATCTGGAGGAATGGCTTAGAGAGGAGGGTGCCCTCGGCGACGCGGAAAAGACTCTGCAGTGCTTTGCGTTAGAGCAATTCTTTCGGCGTCTACCTGAAAACATTAGGCACTGGGTTCAGGATAGGCAAAGAGTAGATACTATCACGAGAGCGGCAGAGCTCGCAGAGGAGTACGTAAATCGCCGTGCTCTCGAAGGCAAGGATGTCTCTAGGAGGGAGACGAGTAAATATTGTGCCGACAAGCCTCCGCGATGGGCAAAGTCGACTCGGTATATGTCGGAGGAGGGGTTAGTCTCCAAAGGAAGTGGTGACGAGAACAAGTGAAAGGAAGAAGCACCTGAGAAAAGGGCGGAGGGGCAACAGAAAAAAGGCGTTCGATCGAGGCCAAGAAGCCGATAGTTTGCTACAAATGCCAGCAGACAGGGCATATTGTTCAAGGTTGCAAGAACCCGAAAGTTGTGTTAATGCCGCTATGTAGTAACGACGAAAACATGAAATTGCTAGAACCATACATCCTAGACCTAGTCATGAATGGCCAACCGTGCCGCTTGCTCCACGATTCGGCTGCCACTATGGATGTAGTGCACCCGTCTTATGTCGAGGAAAGTCAGTTTACAGGAGAATGTGCGTGGATAAGACAAGCAGTAGAGATTAACAGTGCGCATGTCTCCCAGTAGCAAGAGTCCGCATTGAAGGCCCTTTCGGAGTTCTGGACACTGAAACTGCCGTTTCGGCACATCTCCCAGTGCAGTACCCGTATTTGTTTTCTAATAAGTCAGAGTGTTTTCTGCGACAAAGAGGAATTGGGTTCAGTGAGGGTATCATATACAGGCCCTAACTCGCTCCAAAGCAAAGGAGCTCGCAGCTCAGACAGTTTGTAAAGATCTGGTGTCAAAGGAAGCAGCTTCAGCGGAGCCTTCTTTAGCTGGCACCAAACCGGACAGCCCTATAAGGGAATCTGAAAACACACTATCTAAAGAAAGGTGTAGGAAACCGGATGAACCTGAGTCATCTCGAGACGTAGAATGCACTATAAATCTGTTAAACGTAAATCCCATAGAACTGATAGCGGAACAGGAAAATGACTCCACTCTCCGTAACATAACGCCAGACGCGAAGGAAGGGGTATATAGCTAAGCAGAACATTCAGTTCACCAAAAAGGGAAGCGCCCTGTACAGGAAGTACACGAGTCGAAAAGGAGTTTGGTGTAATCAACTAGTCGTACCGTATCCTTTCCGCAAGGAGCTGCTGCACCTGGTCCACGGAGGTTTGTGGTCAGGGCACCTCGGCATCAAAAAAACAAAAGAATGTTGGCTACGGGAGTTTTACTGGCCCGGATGATTTCGGGAGGTGGAGGCATTCGTAAGAAGCTGTGACACGTGCCAACGCGTTGGCAAGCCAGGGGATAAGGCTAAATCACCTATGATGCTGGTCCCCATTATCACAGAACCGTTTCGCAGGCTATTTAGATACAGTGGTTCCCCTTCCTGTAACGCAGTCCGGGTACCGGCATATACTCACAGTGCTCTGCCCAGCCACGAAATTCCCGGAAGCAGTACCATTAAAGGAGCTCAGATCGTAGGAGATAGTTAAAGCGATTTTATCTATCTTTGCACGTGCAGGCTTCCCCGCAGTAATACAGTCAGACCAGGGATATGTTTTCACAAGTTCACTGACCCCGACATTTCCAGAAAAATGTGTCGTTAAAATCATCCACAGTTCAGTGTACCACCCTCAGACAAATGCCGTAGAGAAGGTACATTCAGTCATGAAACGGCTGCTGCGAGCCCTTTGTCACGAACGCAAAGAAGATTGGGAGGCCTGCTTGTCCACAGCTATGTTCGCGCTTCGGATCGCTCCTCAGGAATAAACAGGGTTTTCACCTGCGGAACTTGTTTACGGACGTACTTTTCGGTCCCCACTTCGCATTATTCGAGAATATTGGGAGGGCCGGGCGGACGATCCTTCGGTTGTAGCCTATGTGCTTGAGCTGTTGGACTGTCTTCATGCAGCTAAAGAACTAGGGGAGCAGGAAATGCGCAGAGCTCAAAGCGACGCTATGCGCTATTATGACAAGACAGCCCGGACGCGAAGCTTTCGAGTAGGAAAAAAAGTGCTGATACTGAAGCCCTCACTGAAAAATAAACTTCAGGTCCAGTAGGAGGGACCTGCTGAAGTAGTTCATAAATTATCAGACACCAATTACTTCGTTACTGGACCGGGAAGGCGTAAAACGCAACAGGTGTACCACACTAATCTGCTCAAACTGTACCACCAGAGGCAAGGCGTTGTAAACATGTCGCTCAATCAACCGGAAGAAATGCCTATTCATTTCCCGGAGTTAACGACAGAGAGCAAAGACATTGGCAATACTATTAGTAACCTGGTAGAGCAGGCGGAGTTGGAGCCAGATCAGAAGGTGGAACTGAAAGAACTATTGGTTGAATTTAGAGAAACACTTTCAGACACACCCGGCAGAACCACAGCCTTAGTTCATGATTTGAGCTGACATCATTAGATCCAATGCGCTATAAAGCTTACCGTGTTTCCCCTAAGCAACGGGAAATAATGGCCGCGGAGATAAACCGAATGCTCGAGCTAGGAGTGGTTGAGCCAGGGGAGAGTGATTATACCTCGCCTCTGATCTTGGTTGCGGTCCCAGGGAAGGAGCCGCGGCCGCGTATTGACTACCGGAGGCTCAACTCGATTACAAAGGATCAAACATATCCAATACCGCATATCGAAGAAAGGCTTGAGCAAGTCAGCAGCATGAATTTCATCTCGACTTTGGATTTAGTCAGAGGGTACTGGCAGGTGCCTCTAACTGAGAGGGCTAGTAGGCTTGCGGCATTTATTTCCCCGATGGGAACCTTCCGGCCGAAGGTCCCTAATTTTGGATTAAAGAATGCCCCTATTGCTTTTCTGGACTAATGGACAAAGTGCTACAGGGTATGGAGGACTTTTCCCTCCCTTACCTAGATGATATTGCTATTTTTTCTTCATCCTGAGTAGACCACATGAAAAACTTGCGAGCTGTGCTATGTCGTCTGCGCGAGGCCGGCCTGACTGTGAAGGTTGCGAAATGCCAATTGGGGCGCGCGGAGGTGGCTTATCTAGGGCATGTAATAGGTCAAAGCTACCGCCGGCCGGTAGAGATGAAGCTGGCCGCAATAGATAACTTCCTGCAATCACGAATCAAGAAGGACATTTCGTCGTTTCTTGGTTTGGCCGGTTATTACCAAAGGTATATCCCGCGTTACTCTGACATTGCAAGTTCCTTGACGGACGCTCTTAGGAAGACTGAACCCCAGATCGTACAATGGGATGGGGCCAAGGAACATGCGTTTTCTACACTGAAGAAGGCACTGACATATCAGCCAGTGTTGAGCGCGCCTGACTACTCTAAGCCATTCATTCTTCAGTGTGACGCCAGCGACCGGGGTATGGGTGTTGTGCTTTGTCAAAGGGGAGAGAACGACCAGGAACACCCTGTACTGTATGCCAGTAGAAAGCTTTCGGTTTGTGAGGAAGCCTACAGTGCGTCAGACAAGGAATGTGCCTGCGTTGTGTGGGCTGCAGAAGCTAGCCGGTTCCAGGTTCACAATAGAGACTGATCACTGTCCCCTCACATGGCTACAGTCCATGTCATCAAAAAACGGCCGTCTCTTGCGCTCGAGCTTAGCTCTTCAACAATACACTTTTTTATATTCATTACAAGAAGAGTAAGCTCAACAGCAACGCAGATGGTCTGAGTCGTTGCCCCTAATGCCCCGAAGGCTTCAAAACGATTTTCTGCTTTCTGTTTTCGGTTTGAGGCCTACTAATTTTCTGTATTTATCCAATAATGTGTCAAGTGTGTTGTTTAATTTTATGTCTTCAAGAGTGGCTGAATTGGTGTTTCTACATGGCGGGGGTAACAGGATTAAAGTTAAGGTAGAGGGAAATGACTTCCTTAGGTGGAGCTAAGTCTGGTGATTCTTGGTAGGGAATCGCCGTGTGTTTGCTTGTTTGTGGGTGTGCTTTCGGCGCAGTGTCCACAGCCTCATTTGGCGTGTGCGGAGAATATGATGAATGGGGCCACCTCACTCCTGCGAGCAACGCTGTCTTGGTCCATGATCATTGGATCCAGTGTTCTGGACAAGTGTAATAGAGGAAGAGCCGACAAGCTGCAATACAGATCCCGCTGCACAGTACCTGCTGGCCACTGCACCTCGGGAACTTCTTTCCCCGGTGGAGTGTTGTGACCGGCATCGGGGCTGACAAGGGATCGGTGTTCCTTTTGATGTTCAAACAAGTCGCTGACTGGTCGGCGGCCTACGTCCGCCAGCTATTGTTTCCCCCTGGCCGGAGGGTGAGACGTCTCGCCGCCCTGACGCCGTAAGCCGTTCGGGAGACGACTACAAGTGCAACATCTTCTTTAGAAGATGATGGCGGTGGCGGCCGCAAATCGCCCCGCTAAATAAGCGGGCAGTTCGGCAGACCACTTTGAGCTTGTTTGCGGCAGCCCTTTTGATGGATGCCGTCATGAGCTTCAGACCCCTTGCCCAGCGACACACATCGACGAGGAAGAGCCACGTTTGTGCCACATGGCCGTGCAGAGACCACGCTTCAATAATCGGACGTTCACGTGGGTCATGCATGCCCGTCACCCTCGCCGGTTATGTGGGATCCGTGATTGGACAGTGCCATCTGTACGCATTTACTGTCTAGGGATCTGGGGAGAACATACCTTATTTAATGAGCCCCCCCCCCCTTGGCTCATTCGGTGTGCTTTTTCAAGTGGAGAGCTCACCATGTATGAAGAACGCCACTATGTAACTAAACTTTCTTATTCACATCTCTCTAATGTAAATAAACGTCTGTTCTCTGTTTTCCCGTACAAGCATTGCTCCTCGTTGTAAGGGACGAGTCCGATGGGGTGGCCAGCTACTAACGACGAGACCCAGCAGACCCGAGTCGCGACAATTCACGCTGGACCCGACGTATGCAAGAAAGAGACGACGAAACTTTCACGAAAGCGTCTTTTACTTAACGTTTTCAGCTGGTGGACCAGCCTTCGTCAGAATATTACTCAATATTACTCTGACGAAGGCTGCCAGCTGAAAACGTTAAGGACGCTTTCGTGAAAGTTTCATCGTCTCTTTCTTGCATATATATATATATATATATATATATATATATATATATATATATATATATATATATATATATATATATATAAAATGTAATTTGTACGCCCACCCCTCATACAATGCCCCTCGAGGGCTCTGTAAGGTACTGTAAATAATAAATTAGTAAAAGGAATATATATAAATAAATAAGTCAGTCGAGAGCTAAGCTAAAGGTTGCCAAAATTTGCCATGCCGCCATCCATAATTTTAACTGGCCACAGGCGTCCCTAATTCGCCAATATGGCGAAAAGCAGCCAGCAGTGGCACCCCTGTGCTCAAACACAGACGCAGCGTCGAACTTTGGGGTCCAGCTTCTGTGGCGAAACGAAAACACGTCAAGAATGTCGATGCACTAACACACGCTGATGGGTTCTCTTTTCACCCGTTCGACTCACGTGATCATGGTATAATAATTACAATGTTGGGCTTCTGCTGTTGAGGTAATCTGCTCATTTCTTGCACAGAGAAGTTTGCTTGAATTGATCATTCTTGTTTATTTTATGCGTTCTTCGTTCAACTTTTTTTTTTCTTATGGGGCGCTTTTATCGCGTACAAAGCTCACGTGCGCTTTTCGTTCACTATATATATGAGCTTTTTTATGCTCAGAAATATTAGCGGACAGTAATAATATTTTTGTTGTTGCAAAGAAGTGAACCATAAACAGGTGTGATGTTCATGCATAATTTAATTATTGACTGAACGCACTACGAGGAAATAAAAATATTTTCTTCTGCATTTCTCGAGGAGTGCGACCTATCGTACGTCTTGTAAAACATTATAGTCATTCAGGCTGAATGATAGTGACGTTTACGCTGAAGTGAAGTGAAACGGAGGTAAATTTTACATGTAGATGTAACCAAGGAGTCAATATCCACTCCTTTTTCTTGGTCACCTCTCGACATAACTAGCAAGACGAAGTCACATCTCCAAACGTGGACACGGCATACCTCAACGCACTGCGTTCCCTGAGGCTTGGGTTACCCTATGAAATATCAGCATTCTTGAACGAATACGAAGGCAGACTGTGTAGTTAGCATATAATAGCTTAGCGGTATTTGACTCAACATCAGTAAACGGTGAACTCTAATGACCTCCTTTTACTTGAAGTATACAAAAAAATCATTTTGAAATCCTCTGCCAACTAAGAGCTGACCCTCAACCTTTCTTTTTATTTTTGTAATGCCCCTTGTAACGTAAAAGATATTTTGTCAAAATTAAAACATACAAGCGCTCTTTTTTTTTCGTACACCTTTTGTGACTGAATTTCTCTGAACCACGCAATACATTACGATTTTGCTGTATTTCTTAAAGGTTCTATTGTTACTTAGTGTTTTTATTGTCTTTCTGCTTGAACGACAAGGAGGTGGAGACATTAAAAGAAAGTCAATGCTCGCTTTCACTGAATTGTGCCAAGTTTCACGGTGTGACGCACTGACCACAACAGCGTGGCACTTCCCTTCTTGCGAAGTGGCTCAAGTGAAAAAGAAAGCGTTAACAGAAGGGCACGATAAGGGACGTGATTGTTCGAGACGCGTGTGCTGCCTGAAACTCGCAGTAGCTGAACAAGCCAATGTAATCTGGCGCAATGACCATGCAAAGGAGCGTAGCTCACAAAAGTTGCGCTTATAAGGTTGCTTCAAACGTAGCTGAAATATAAGGAGAATAGCGAGGGGCAGCTGCCATTATTTACCGAGCTGTTTCGAAAGCGTAAGTAAATGGCACACAATTATGGCAATACGGGGGGCACTATGCGATTACGTGGAAAGCTTCTAGGCAGACGGCCTTGGTATATTACCGTGAACTAATGAGCAGAGGTATCATTTAGTATGTAGTCACGCATTCCAGTGGCACGGCCAAATATAAGCTTGAACCTTATTCCACGCATCGACGCACTTTTTTTTTTCGTCTGAGCCCGTATTCTTTATGTATCTCAAAATGAAATTTATCCCGAGAGCAGGTGTCAAGCATTTATATTATTATACGCATCGCTGAGAATGTGTTCCGCGTGGAAAACAACACTTTCAGGCGGTAAAGTTCTGGGAATTCTGTCCTTGCTTCTCGAAACGCCGCCTGTTGCACAATATAGCAGTGCGCGGTGTAGAACATAAGCGTAATGAATTGATTGATTGATAAGTGAGGTTTAACGTCCCAAAACCATCATATGATTATGAGAGACGCCGTAGTCGAGAGCTCCGGCAATTTTGAGCACCTGTAGTTCTTTTATAAGTGTAATGAAGAAGGAAGCTTTGGAGTTTAGACGGCACTGTATTGAGGAGAAAATTCAAAGGCTGAAATATCCGGGGTTGTGACCAGCCGCTCGATGCCGATGGTGAACATTCATATGTATTGCGTAGTAGCAAATGTATTGTTATAGTAGAATTATTTATTCAGGGACTAAAACATAGAGAGACAGTTTCATTATGGGACAAAGAATGCAATAGTTATGCCGGATTAGCATTATTCACACTGAACTTTGAGGAGGAAGGGAACGAGAACGAAATAAGAACCTTGTCACGGTGCCTATTTACAATACACAAAATGCCCCCTTGCGTCTCTCATAATCATATGGTGGTTTTGGGACGTTAAACCCCGCAAATCAATCAATTAATCAACAAAAGACCCCAGTAAAGGGGTAATAGACTGAATGAGAAAAATTACCTTGAAACCTTTACGACAGCTGCATATCCATTCCATAAAAAATCTACTATGGCTTTGATGGCCTGGTTCGCGGATATTTTCGGTCATGGGTCACAAAGGAGACTTTTAGAAAGTGGTTGGTTGTCGATGCGGGCTGAAGATTCATGCGATCGTTGCCTTATACTTGTCAGCACGAATGTACATACAAAGCACATGGTACGTAGTCCGGCGCGATTGTTACGATCTTGACTGCACGAACGTTAATATGGCGATATCGTTGCGTTAAATGGAAGACGAGGAGGCTTGAAGATTTGATAAGAATTCATTGTTAGCACGGACCAACGCTGCTGTCGATGATGTAATTTTACCCGCGGCTGTTGCAGCGGGATCTTTCGAATACGCGGAAGAAAAGCTTGCTTTTCTCCGCCCACGTGGGCACGCCGCGTTAGTGCGGGCGTTTAAACCCACGTCATCTTCCATTTTTGAGCCGTGCTGCCCTCCGACGGAAGATCAAGACACAGACGGCATACATATTCAGAAAAGAGAGGGCTTCTGATAACCTATGTTTATTGGAACATTTTGCGTTCAAATATATGCAGCATCGTACGCTAACGTACTCGTCCTCTAGCTAACGATTTAAAATATTAGCCGATTCAGTTAGCTCCTTCGTAGGCTATAGCTTTTTTTTTTTACGTATAATCTCTGTGGTAGCCGATTTTAGTGGTTGACGTCGCCACAGCTGTTGCAACAGACTACTCGGCGACCAGCCCTAATGCTTTAACATCGGCCAGGCGGGTCGATGTAGTTTCGACCGCAAGGCAGTGGTGGCACATTGTAGACTA